AAGTGTTAGTGTATCGTTTTATAAGATTTAAATAAGAAAGACATTAGCACCTAAATAAGAAAATGTCGAAAACCGCATGTAAATTGATTCACTACGACCGATGATATGGCCTGTCAATCATCCCAGTTTGCACCTGACTGGTAAAGCCAATCAGAGTGTAGCGGATATGTGTGTAGTGTAGTGCACATGAAATCGTGACGTCACAAGGTGAACACATTCAACATGGATGCCTACAGCGATAGTGGAAGCGATGGGACAGAAGACTCACAATCAGATTGCGACCTTCATATGGGATACTCTTCTTCTGATTTTGAAGTGGAGCATTCTGAAGGTATTCGACCTTATCGTTTTGAGCCAGAGCTAGGAAGTGACGACGATGAAGAAAGCGGCAATCCGCCATCGGCAATCGAGGACCGCTTGGGCTCAACCGAATGGTACGTAGACCTATATTAAGGCCCAATATAAGAATACCTTGATACTTACGGCCTTTTAATGGCCAAAGTATTTTTATTGAGCCTTAAAATTTTCGTTAAACGGAACCGTCAACTTTGCCTTCATGTATATTATAACATAACTTAACCAGGCAACATAAAACTATATCGCTGGACGAGTAATCTCGTCACTACGAACTTGGTCGGCTTGCCCATAAAGGATATGCGATGTTGTTAACCTAACATCTATACTGAGTATATATTTTTCCATCTATAAATTATCAGTTATTATTATATTAATTATTCTGTCAATAAGAATATATATAGGCCTGATCTCAATCTCTACAAAATATGTTATTGTGTACCAATGGTAATGTTGTTTGGTGAGTTTTGTAGGGAAAATATCCAGAGCATCTTGACAGAGGAAGTTGTATCTGCTCAAAAATAAATATTAAAATCCATCTACACCATTTGAAAACTACTAAATTCTGCTTGGAGCAAATAAGTTAACTAGGAAGTAAACACAGATTAGACTTCAGAGCAGCATGGAGAAGCTGCAAAACCACTTGGGACAAACACAGATTATGTTTTAGTGTTTTTTTGTTATATTTAATCCTTCACAAGGACAAATCAACTTTATTTCATATAAATATTCCTGTTGACAAAATATCCTTTGACTGATGTGATGAACACATGAAATAACACCTAGAATATCTAATAAAAAAAATAAGGGCAATCCAAAAAATCAGTATTTCTGGGAATTTATTTGGTTTTAGAGTAGAACTACTCTGTAACAAATATAACTTTCAATACCAAACAACTTTCAATAACAAATGCAATTTCCAATAACAATCTCTAACAATGCTTATGCGTTAAACATAATTCAGAATGACTATTTTACAGGTGCAAATGTGAAAACTGTCGAGAGATGCCAACAGTCCCTGAAAGTATTTGTTGCACTGAAATTGCACAGATCCAACACATCAAGAATGAGTTTCCACACCTGAACTGCATCACACAGCACCCTGGATTTCCTTCTGTTTGCCTAGATGTGTATGTGTTGCGTACAGCATATCAAGCCTTTAGACAGTACCATAATGGCAACATACCCGATGGTCCAGCGTAAGTAATAGCTATCCATTGAATGTTACATGTATATGATGTGAAATATCATACAGAGATTTGTGATTATCTGACAATTTGTTTGTTTTTCCCCTTATAAAACCTCATCTATTATTGGACTTTTGCAGTAAGAATACCAAACAAGTTCAAGTGCTGAGACTGAAAGACACCTGTGAATTATAATTTATTATAATTTATAATACCAAAATGAAAACATGACAATGCATCTGTATTTCTTGTTTATCTTTTTTCAGGCGAAACCGCTACACTGCCTACCGACAGTTTGTCCGATGGTGCTGGGGTTTTCTGGGGCGAAATGTACGAGTCCCACTTCCAGCATGTGCTGTAAATCTCATACGACAGACATTCCCGCCTGGTGATGGTGAAGAATTGAGGGGTTTCAATTATGGAGACTGAATGAAAAGTATGGTTTTGTGAATGACTAGTTTCAAGCGAAACGGGATTGGACTGATGACACAGCTTCTAGTTTTGAAGGCCGTTCAAAGGTGCTGCATAGTGCTGGAGGTGCATCCATCAGGACATCTTGTGTTTTAGTCATTCTGGTGTTTGTTGCCTTGTTGACTGTTATTTGTAGCAGCTCTTGAACGTAATCTGTCATTAAAAAAAGAAGACATTTCAATGGATTGTTGCCTTTAATTTATGTGTAGTGCCGGTCACTGCCGGTGTCATGCATAATATGTAGCCCCCGACCAAAATGTAATCGGATACTTTTTATTCCTACATAAAACATACCCCCATTGCTTAAAAGGTAACCCCCTACCCAAAATCTTCAATTTTATTTTTTTTCCCAAACTGAATAGTGAAGTTATGAAAAATGACCCAGGGGTTCCCACGATTTAGTATACTTACCGAAAGTTGGCTCCATTTTCACTTCACGGACTGTGTATTCTCCTTTCTTGTGTTTGGGATACACAATGTTGTAACAAGTGTTACCATCTTTGGTGACTGCTGGGTCCCTGCCTCCATTTTCATTGTAATGAAGGGCACCGAGTAGAAGTCTGCAATATAAACAAGAAAATAATCAGTACAGTAGTTAACAGAAGTTCAATTTGAAGTTTGAAAACTAGAAAACATATGTTAGACATAAATGCGTTTGCTCTGGCAAGGTTTTTGATGATTATTCTATAAATAGCATGTCAGAGGTTTACTGATATGTTACACATATCTAGTTCGATTAAAACCATGAAGGAATATTTTTGCTTCTAATGTGACATTTACACTCATTAGGATAATATTCAATGCACAAGATTGGTAAATAATAGTGATACAAATAAGTATCAATTTTAAACCTTACCTGCATACCATCCCATAATAGGAGAAGCCATGCATTTTTGGTGCGAAGTGGTTGATGACAGAGTGATATCCTTCCAACTCTGATGTCTGTTGGTTGGTCGAAAGCATCGGAATATCCATCTTCATCTGTCGGTTGTCCAGGATAGGCAGCAATTTCTCCAAGCTCTTTGTGCCTGAAAGTAATGTATCATCATAAAACTCAGAAAGCATTGAGATTCATAAAGAACTTAATTGACAAATATGATTTTATTTCTTTTGTTTTTATTCAAATAAATTTCTTTTTGTAATTATTTATTTTTTCAACTTTATTTGTTTTTTAAATTGGCCCAGATGTTAGCTCCCGTGGAAATTCATGGGAAGAGGATACTGAAGTGCTCAGAGAAAACCAATGTGGTCAGGCACTTCCTGTTTAAAATACATGATAAAGTCTGAAAAGATTCAATTTTTTTAAGCAACAGATTATTCTAGTGTTGTAGCAGTGCACATACCTGGCTTCAGCCATCGTTTTCTTCGTTCCAGTCCAGTGAGGTCAGGATGCAGGCACTTGGGAAACTTCTTACCATGGCCCTCATGGATGTTTTGTATATGGTTTCCAAGTGACTGCCATTTTTCCATCATCAAATCTTTATCTGCATCTGGTGTGGATGCTGCCACCCAGTATAGATGGTTGGTAATACTTCTGATCCAGGTGCTCAGCTCTCCACAATCTTTCTCCTTTGACAAGGCCAACACTTTCTTCTTAAGTCCTAGAAATAAAAAGCGTCAATTTGTTTTCCAAGCTTTCAAAAATGTCAGTTTTCTTTGTCGAGCAAAGAATATGTATAAATGACCAATGTCTTGTATCGAAACTGCTGATAGCAATTCACTACGTCCAAGTTGTAATTATTATAGTTCCCTCAAGCACATGTATACTTGAGTAGTAACATTGGAGCAATATTTAAATTATTTTACACTCTATGACAATTACCTTTAGCTACATGCCACACATCTACACAGTGTTTGGTGTCGGTCATGTTCTCTCTCACCCACTTTCTAATTTGAACATGGCGGTCAGTGACAATGGTGTGGATGTCGATGTCATGATCTTGTAGGAAAGCAATGCTGCGTGACAGTCCCTCTTTTTCCATATGACAGCTACTCTTCACTTCATTACTCTAAAATGGAGACAGCTTAATATTACAACTATTTATAAGTCTTGTGATCATGATCAACACAGGTGAAGTCCATGTAACTTAAGTTCTAAAACAACCACATTTCATTTGAATATCTGCGGGTATCTGAGATAGCGAAGAAAAAGAACAAAGTTGTGTACTTGTAAAATAAATCACAAAGAAAACCTAATATTTTACCATAAATAGGCTAAATAAGAGTATACATATAAGAGTATACAATCACCTTTAGGCAAAAGTATTCTCATTTTTTAACCATTATGTGTAAAGTTTGATTGAGACAAAACTAAATATCTGGGGAAAGGAGGCAGTGTTTGGAATATGGACACAAGCATATATGGTAAACCAAGGTTTCTCTCCCCACCCACTCACCTTTATAACTGTTTATAATATTACATTTAATTACCTGCACTAACTGCACATCAATGACCTGTCCTTGGTCCAAGTCCATGACTGAGTAGCTGCCAAACTTTGCTGAGTGGCCCGGTGTGTCACAACGACCATCTCCACCAATACATATGGGACGGTTGTTTCTTTGTATTTCTTCAAGATACATCCTCTGTCGCTCCTTCCACAAATCCACAATTGCAGGCTGCAAGTAGTTCCTCTGGTGCTTTATGAAAGTTTCCTTGGAAATGGCTGGACAATTCATAAAGTCAAATATCCTAAGGGTCTTGGCTGGAAGGGAACCAGAGAAAAGAATCCCACATGAAAGCTTCAGGTTCCCCAGAGGAATACTCCCTACCAGTGGCTGGCTATTCCACAACCTACTGTGTCCACAAACACCACAGTCCTGTTCGACTTTTATAAGAGTCCCAACATTGTTTATTATGTTCCCCAGGGAGGGTGATGAGCACTGTGGACAAACCTGGAACAAGCTCATCAAACTCTGTTCACTGACAAGGTATAGTCTGTCTTCTTTCCGAGTCCTGAAAAGTGAAACGAAGATTATTATAGATGGCTCATCACATATCAATCTCAATTCAAACTATAATAGCTGACAAATAGCTTATTTCATCTGAAATCTAGGATATGACTTCTTTGTAGTTTCCCAAATACAATTGTACAATTTATAACTACACCGGTATATTTCAAGTATTTAATAATGGACAAATATTTCAATATTTTTTTTAAAGTTATAAAACATTTTGCTGCAATCAACTCTTTACATATCAGGAAAGACCTCTCACATTTTTTTTCCAATTATGAATACCTAAAATGTTGAACTAGAATCAACATCAGATTGATGGAATATTTCCAAGATGTCAAGAAACAAATTCCGCATAGCGAGAAAAAAAAGATGAACAAAGTGACAAACATGATCGATTGTAAGTACATAATCATAATTGTACAGTAACCAACATTTTCATTACCTGTCATCATCATTCAAGCATTCTGAGCCAACATCCGACTCACACTCTGAAGGCTGGTAGTCCGAGTCATCTGCTTCATTTCCATGGGCTGACGATATCCATGATTGGTCCAGCTCATCTGATGTCACAGAGGTGTTGAGTTTGTCTTTGGCTGGCTTCAGGATGTTGCACTGTACCTCAACATTTTTCATCTTTGGTTTATTGGTAGTTTGACATCCTGTTACAAAATAATGACATCAATTAATATAATTATGTATGCAAAATTTATAAGCTAAATACAAATTCACATTTTTTTGAAATATTATTAAATACAAATTCTTAATCTGACAGAGTTTAAAAACAAAATAGGATCTGGATACAAATGCACCAATGGTCAAACATGTATTGAACACCGATTCAGAATTGGCAAAATAAAGCTCAGAAAGCAGTATTACAATCGGCCTCTTCTATTTGTTTGAAGGGTTGCTACATCAGTATCTCAATTGCAAAAAAAATTATGTGACTGTTTTCTTTTTCAATAAAGTTGTATGTATTGTGCATTGTCTTACCCTTTTCTTTAGTTAATGGCGTAACTTGTACTCGTACAGTTCTTGCACAGGGCTTTTTGAAAGCCAGTTGTGTCCCGCATGTCCTAGTAGTACTGATGCTAATACAGCTGCCATTCTGTACTGTTGGTGTCTGAATGAAATATACAACATGTTGAAGTTATTGTTTTCTACAGTAACATGTATGTATTTTGGGCATGATATTGATTAGAATTGGGTACCACAAAAAAAATAATATACCGGTACCACATTATACCATAGTATTTGGTGCAATATCACGCAGGTTTTTTTTTTTAATTATGAAGTTTAATAATCTAATATCAACTGTGTACCATATTTCACAATTTCATTTCTTCATAGGGGGAGGGGGGGGGGGGGGGGAATAAAATTGACTCTTTATTCATACCTCCAAAACTGTAGGGGTAGTGTCATCTTGGTCGGTGTCCATGGGTTCCTCGCCACTGATGTCTTTTGTCTGGCCATCAATCAATATCTCATTGATGATCTGTAAGAAAAATGAAAATATGAACCATTCAATACTTGTCAGGGCAGATTGACTGAATGACATATTTATGTGCAATTGGTTTAAATACATACATAATATAGTAGTCAACGTAGAATTGAAATGTAAAACCTAAGCTTATCTCGAGTTATTTGTCAATCCAAGCAACCTCTCCCCCCCCCCCCAAAAAAAAAAATAAATAAAAAAAAATACATAAAATATATAAGTACATTTCAATTTTGTAGATGACACTAATATTTAATATATAATTTGTTCAAATTACCTAGGCATATAGAAAATGTTATGTAGATTTAAAAATCAGATCTTCAAAACATTGAATAAAACTATGCCTACATTAGGTCAATCCGTCCCAATACGTACCCTTCTGTTTTGACGTTTCATGAAGGCGGATCTGGGCTTTTTTGGTTTTGGTGTTGACGCAAACAGTGGGGACGCAAGTTGGGATACATCATCCATGGGCTCAGCTTGAACTGCCGTCTGTATGGTGGGGATAGCGTCGGCATTGAGAACCTTCTTCTTGGGGGGAGTTTGACCCATGGATCGAAGAATGGCGTATTTCATAGGATATGACCCATCTTCGAAGTGTTTTTCACACAGAGCCGAGTACGTTGTTGGACCGTCCCACTTGTCTCTTTTCTTTTGTACAAAATTTGTCCACATCTTACACAGATCGGCATTAGTAGGGAATAAATGAAGGGCAAACCCATCGCCGTACTTTGTTGAACACCCGTATGCCACACACCTCTTACCTACACTTCGTTTCCTATTTTCGCTCATTGCGAAACCTCGTAAAGTCTCAACGTTGTCCTCGATTATCTGTTGTCCCCAATTAAACAAATTATACACCAGATCCACTGTCAAACACGAAATAAAATCATTCGGTCGCTTCAGTTGTATGTAAATAAATATGGCTGACTCGCGTACCCGCGGTATATGTGTTCACCTTGTGACGTCACAGATCTGTGTGTACTCAAAACGGGGTCAATGCCCAATCCGTACAGGTGTGTTTTTCAAACAACGTTAAATATCTCGATGAGTATTTATTTTTCAGAGTTCGTTCTTGCTGTAGCTATCTTATAATTTTAAAAGGATTTTAAATATATTAAAAAACAATAGCAGTGCACTATCTCTTTGAGATACAGAGATACATACAAAGATTGATATGAGTATTTTTGATATTTTTATTACCATCTTCCATACAACAACTTTTTTGTCCGTTATAAATGGCCGTCGAAATTCAGCGTCCATCGGCCTAGGGGATTATCGAGACACCTAAATTTACACTACCACTCTCGTTTTAGATTGATGATTTTGTATCTGTTTTATGTTCTATGTATGTGATGTAACTTATGTAATATTTGTGTCTTAATAAAAGGGCAAGTTGCCTCGAAATTTTGACAATTCACTTGTCCGTACTGTCGTTATTACTTCATTGATCATATATATATATATATTCCAGTAATATGCAACCAACGAACATTTGTTTGTTAAGATCAAGTACCAAGTTTTGGACCATACTGTCGATATTACTAAATAGATTATATACATGTATGTATAAACAACGAAGTAAGAACAACAGAACGGACAAGAAACATATTACTTACTAGATTCTAGATTATATATAAATTCAGAATGGATCAAGAACCAGTGAACATGTGAAAATGGACTGCAGACGATGCAAGGGACATAACTTGTGCAGTCTTGCGGAAAGAGAAACTCAACTGAAACTAAATCTGGTGCAGGGAGAATGGAAAACTCTACCAAATGACATCAATGTTTATTTTAACCCAAATTCAATACCTTCTTGTCCTAAGTAGACATTGTTGCTCACAAAAACGTGTACACAAATAATTATTCCGTTAACCGAATAAAAAAGGTTATTTGTATACAATTATCAGCGATTACACGAAGGGATGCCAACTGTCTTTGTTGTATATAGTGGTACTAGATGTCTTAGCGGTATATAGTGGTACTAGTTGTCTTAACAATATATAGGGGTACTAGTTGTCTTAGCGGTACATAGGGGTACTAGTTGTCTTAGCCGTATATAGTGGTACTAGTTGTCTTAGCGGTACATAGTGGTACTAGTTGTCTTAACAGTATATACGGGTACTAGTTGTCTTAGCGGTATATAGTGGTACTAGGTGTCTTAGCGGTATATAGTGGTACTAGTTGTCTTAACGGTATATAGGGGTACTCTTAACGGTATATAGTGGTACTAGTTGTCTTAACAGTATATAGTGGTACTAGTTGTCATAACAGTATATAGGAGTACTAGTTGTCTTAACAGTATATAGGGGTACTAGTGATACAAGCTGTCTGTAGTTATGTTTAATGATACCAGTTGTCTGTAGTTATGTTTTATGATACCATTTGTCTGCAGTTACGTTTCATGATACCAGTTGTCTGTAGTTATGTTTATGTCTGCAGTTATGTTTCATGATACCAGTTGTCTGTAGTTATGTTTTATGATACCAGTTGTCTGTAGTTATGTTTTATGATACCAGTTGTCTGTAGTTATGTTTATGTCTGCAGTTATGTTTTATGATACCAGTTGTCTGTAGTTATGTTTATGTGTGCAGTTATGTTTTATGATACCAGTTGTCTGTAGTTATGTTTAATGATACCAGTTGTCTGTAGTTATGTTTATATCTGCAGTTATGTTTTATGATACCAGTTGTCTGTAGTTATGTTTTATTATACCTGTTGTCTGTAGTTATATCTAGCGATACCAGTTGTCTGTAGTTATGTTTATATCTGCAGTTATGTTTTATGATACCAGTTGTCTGTAGTTATGTTTATATCTGCAGTTATGTTTTATGATACCAGTTGTCTGAAGTTATGTTTAATGATACCAGTTGTCTCTAGTTAAATCCAGCGATGCAAGTTGTCTGTAGTTATATCTAGTGATACCAGTTGTCTGTAAAATATGTCTGGCGAAACCAGTTGTCTGTAGTTATGTTTTATTATACCTGTTGTCTGTAGTTATATTTAATGATACCAGTTGTCTGTAGTTATGTTCTATGATACCAGTTGTCTGTAGTTATGTTTAATGATACCGGTTGTCTGTAGTTATGTTTTATGATACCAGTTGTCTGTAGTTATGTTTTATGATACCAGTTGTCTGTAGTTATATCTAGTGATACCAGTTGTCTGTAGTTATATCTAGTGATACCAGTTGTCTGTAGTTATGTTTAATGATACCAGTTGTCTGTAGTTATGTTTAATGATACCAGTTGTCTGTAAAATATATCTGGCGAAACCAGTTGTCTGTAGTTACATCTGGTGACACCACAAGTTCAGTAGACAGTTAAACTACAATCAATTGTGTGAAATGGCAAGAATAAACTCGTTGTATGGTATTTACGTATTTTGTTAATGTTCTTTGTACAGTTCAAGGATAGTATTTCCCCGTAATACTACCGTATACGCATTTCATCATCATTATTGTTTAAATAATGTAAAGCTCGCACAAGCAAGCACGTGTTCTTGTAGATTAATAAGCACGCGCAAGTTATACCCACTAAAACACGCATATGACATGAATTATCTGTAAAAATACGAAATATTAAAAAGGGAAACGGGAATATAATTTTACCATTTTTTATTGAAGGTGAGAAAAAAATTATCTAATGTGTGATAGGTGATCTCCTTCAGTGTTATAGGTATTATAGGTACAGGTCTATCCTATACCGATCAATATATGTAATACCTAACCACCATTCTTATCGCCTTTATAGCCTGTCTAATACTTCCACTACGGGTGTAAACAAACAATTGTCCTCGATCGCTTTTTCTGAAAGGGAGAAACCCGCCATGTTGTTTACTGTCACCAAGGCACCTCATTTGCATATCAATGCCACCCATGCGTATGGAGTGCCTTCCAAAGCAATGTAGTGTGCCAACGTGACGGCGAAAGGAGTGAAAGTTTAGCGACTTGTCAAAATTCTTTTTCAAATGTCGGTTTTAAATTCATGTGCGGATTTGTAGCATTCAACTAATGGATATAATATAAAGTCGGACAGCGAAACGCTGAAAATGCCTCTGAAACAGGTGAGTTAACTATCGAAACGAAACTTGTTGATATCTTCACTGTGTTCACGCACGGATGATTTTGACAGTTTCTGTGTGGCTTTACGCGTAGAGGATTGATCTAGTTTGATAGACTGCGTGTCGCTTTGATAGAACCTTTAAATGGCTAGGCCTGTAGATTATGTTCCGTCTATACGTTTGTGGACATTTCATTTTCAATGTCTCCTCCGCTGCAACATTCAGGGATGCTGGCACGTATGATTCCTGTTATATTTTGCCGCCCCTTTCATCGCAAGCTTAAACATCATATACAAAATTAACTGACGGTAAATAAGAGGGTATTTAAGTTTGCAGTCTTAAATAAATAAAAAGAATATAAGTCATCCAGGTATATGACGGATCAAGAGTGATTGCAAATCATAGAGAAAAAATTGAACTTTTCAAAAGTTACCTTTCAAAGACTCTAAGTGACAATGGTTCATAGAATTACTTCGGGTAGTTTGTTTCCAGATGTTAGTGTGAAAATTATGCAATTAACAAAAACTGATGAAATTTTTATGGAAATAGTGACATGACATTAAATATATTTATTTCATTCTATATCTAATGTCGCTATTTCTATTAAAATTTTATCAGTTTTTGTTAATTGCATAATTGTAATTGAAAATCGAAAATGAAAATTGTGAAGTTGTGAACAGTACACATTGGAACTGGAATTCTCCCCAATAACTTTTCTTTTTATTCAGCACAATGAACCAGATACGAATATATTTGGTACCTACACATACATACAAATAAATATATTGGATAACACACAAACACAGCTGTATAATAAATGTATAATTCACATGAAAGGATAGATACAACGCTAAAGTTATATACCAAAATTTCATTTGAAAATGAGACATTACTTACTTAAATCAACCAAGATTTACTTGAAAGATGTTGTCAAAAAAGAAGAATGACACTTACCCTTTTGGAACTCATGGTCTTGTTCTTATATTTTCTCAGTAGCCTACGTGTAAATCTTTATTTTGTTCATTATTTGCCCTCAAGCATTGAATATAGGTTTGAATTGAGACTGTTTTAACAAAAACGATGATTTATACGTAATCATGGACTTGTCTAAAGCTGTTACCCGATCAGTTATAAAAACATGGGATAAAACTGATACTGCATTTTTTAACAGAATTTTGTTTATAATGATCTGGACTTTTATTCAGTTGGGTAGTTCAACTATTAAATTTGACACTAATTAATAATTGAACAATGTTACCTATTATCAGAAGCATGATTTTTTAACGAGAATTTCATAAATAATTGAGTGTTAAAGCAAATTAAGGACGTTTAGTATTCTTTGTATTATCTTTCGAACAATTCATTGATTATGTAGTTTGATCTTCAGATATCCCTCAACTTCAAATTCTCATAGTTTCACTCTCAATATAATGAATGGAGTCCAACTTTGAAAAATGTTTGTGCGGTGAGTGATACCTGTCTGGAGTCCGTAATCCAATCCTCTCTCTCCATGATCTCTGTGATACCATATAAAAGGAGTCTCACAGCTGCATTGAGCCTAAAGCTCCTACCTTTTTTAACGGTAATATTGTAATGACAAGTAATGGTCAGTCTTTATGAAGTCAGTTAAATGGTCAGAGCTTATCATTACAAGTACTATATATTTCCTATTGAGTGTTCAGGTGAAACCCTTGGATTCTGAAGATGCAGTATGATATGATAAGTCCTTTGTTAGTACAGATTGATCTAACTATGTCTGCCTATAGGTTTCAGATTGATTTAGGTTGAGCAGGAAGAGAGGAAATTAGCATCGATTTTCTTATTTACTTTTGTATATTTATCGAAGTAATATGGATTTTACTGCGAGTCAACAAATTATACTGTTCTACACAGCTTTTTAACACACTAAATGCTCGAGTTATATA